ACTGGGACCTCCAGGGGGCCATATAGCCCACCTGAAGCCCCACAGGTAGAGACACCAGGCTCACTGAGAGACACACACAGGCATTTAGCTCCACCTGAGAGACACACAGGTAGAGTCATAGCTCACCTGAGACACACACACAGTAGAGTCATCTTAGCTCACCTGGAGACACACAGGTAGATCACCCAGCTCACCTGAGACAATCACAGGTAGACACTTAAGCCACTGACACAGATACTCATTTAGCTCACCTGAAACCTCACAGGTAGAGAGACACACTTAGCTCACCTGAAGACACACACAGGAGAGACATGACCACTGAAGAAGCCTCCACAGGAGAAACTTAGCTCACCTGACACACAGATACTCATTGGCTCACTGAAGACACTCACAGGTAGAGTCACTTAGCTCACTAGAGACACTCACGGCAGACACTTAGCTCACCTGAAGAAACACACACAGATACTCATTAGGTCACCTGAGACACCACCAGAGCAGAGACATAGCTCACCTAGAACCTCACAGGTAGAGTCCACTTAGCTCACCTGAAGACACTCCTGGTAGACACTTAGCCCACCTGAAGACACACACAGATACTCATTTTAGGTCACCTGAAGACACTCACAGGAGAGACACTTAGCTCACCTGAAGACCACACAGTACTCATTTGGGTCACCTGAAGACACCTCACAGAGAGACACTCAGCTCACCTGAAGACACACACATATGGGACATGGCTCCTGAAGACACTCACAGGTAGAGACACCCTAGCTCACCTGAAGACAACTCCCACAGGAGACACTTAGCTCACCTGAGACACTCACAGGTAGAGACACTTAGCTCACCTGAAGACACTCACAGGTAGAGACACTTAGCTCACCTGAAGACACTCACAGGTAGAACCTAGCTCACCTGAAGACACCACAGGTAGAGACCTTAATTCACCTGAAGACACACACAGGCAGAGTCATAGCTCACCTGAAGACACTCACAGGTGGAGTCACTTAGCTCACCTGAAGACACACATATAGAGACACTTAGTTCACCTGAAGACACACACATATAGAGACATAGCTCACTGAAGACACTCACAGGTAGAGACACTTAGCTCACCTGAAGACACACACACACTCGCACTCACACACACCTGAAATCTGTAGAAGGTGGAGTCGTTCTGACGGTCAGAGACATGGTCGTCGATGGGGCCATGTACTAACTGACACCAGTGAGCCAGGTGTCAGGGCCTCCACTGTGAGGGGAGGGAACACGCTGGGTTAATAAATAGAGATAGTCTCTCTCTCTATGTTTATCTGCAGTTCACATCCTCCTCCTCACCACCACTGGGGGCTACATCCTCTCCCTCACCACCACTGGGGGCTACATCCTACTCCCTCCACCACCACTGGGGCTCATCACTCTCCTTCACCACCACGGGCTACATCACTCCTCTTACCCACAGGGCTACATCACTCTCCTTCACCAATGGGGGCTACATTCTCTCCTTCCCACCACTGGGGACTACATCACTCCTCCTCACAACCACTGGGGAGCTACATCATCTCCTTCACCACCACTGGGGCTACATCCTCTCCCCACCTGCAGGGCCATCCTCCTCACCACCACTGGGGGCTCATCCTCTCTTCACCACCACAGAGGCTACATCACTCTCCTTCACCACTGGGGGCACCATCTCCCTCACCACCAGGGCTTTACTCTCCTCCACCACAACTGGAGCTCTCTCCTTCACCACCACAGGGCTACATCACCCTCCTTCACCACTACTGGGGCTACATCACTCTCCTTCACAACCACAGGGCTACATCACTCTCCTGGCCCCCCATTAGAAGAATTAAGAGGTGAGTTAGTGAAGTGGTGGTAGTGTCAAGATACCTTCTTGGAGGTGGTATTGAGAGGTGATATCTTGGAGGTTAGGTTAGGTTAGGTTAGGTTACCATAAGGGTGGTTAATCTCAAGTAGGATAGCTAATCATCAAGTTAGGTTAGGTTGGTATTGAGTTAGGTTAGGTTGGTATTAAGTTAGGTTAGGTTAGATTGGGTGGGGTGAGGTTAGGTTAGGTTAGATTGGGTGGGGTGAGGTGAGGTTAGGTTAGGTTAGGTGGAATCTTCCGGTGATGAGCCTCTTCCCTCTTGGTCAACACAATATTTCAACATCGTCTCTTTTGTTCGGGTTCCCACACCACCGCCTCCCCACCCAACTTATCCTGGGTATTGATTCTTTCGGAAACAACAGAGGACGACGACCACAAATCCTCGGGACTTCACGTGAAGATTAGACACTCCAGCGTATTTCATCTGACGAATAAACACCCTAACACTACATGGGGGAGGGGATTGGGTGATGCTCGGTTAGTATTGGGATGTTTAGTTATCAGGTGAAATAATCTAAGGTGTCTATTTTTCATGTGTGTGTGTGTGTAAAAGAGGAAAGGAGGTTTAGCTGACGGAGAGAGAGAGAGAGAGAGACCAGATGAGGTCATTTGATTTATTTAGCTGACACAGGGGCTAGTAGTCAAGTAGAGTACGATACTTGAGGAGGACTTACTATAGAAGGTAGAACTTACTATAGAAGGGAGGACTTACTATAGAAGGTGGACACTATAGAAGGTAGGACTTACTATAGAAGGAAGGACTTTCTATAGAAGGTAGGACTTACTATAGAAGGTAGAACTTACTATAGAAGGGAGGACTTACTATAAGTAGGACTTACTAAGAAGGTGGGACACTAGAGAGTGGGACTTACTATAGGAAGGTGAACTTACTATGGGGAAGGGGCTTACTATAGAAGGTAGGACTTACTATAGAAGGTGGGACTTACTATAGAGGTGGGACTTACTATAGAAGGAAGGACTTTCTATAGAGGTAGGACTTACTATAGAGGAGGAACTTACTATGGGAGGACTTACTGCAGGCTGGACTTACTATAAAGGTGGGACTTACTATGGAAGGACTTTCTATAAGTAGGACTTACTATAGAGGTAGAACTTACTATAGAAGGGAGGACTTACTATAGAAGCTGGGACTTACTATAAGAAGGTAGGACTTACTATAGAGTGGGACTTACTATAGAGGTGGAGCACACTATAGAAGGAGGACTTACTATAGAAGGTAGGACTTACTATAGAAGGTGAGGACTTACTATGAGAAGGAAGGACTTTCTATAGAAGGTGGGACTTACTATAGAGGTGGAACTTACTATAAGAAGGAGGGACTTACTATAGAGGTGGGACTTACCTAGAGAGTGGGACTTACTATAGAAGGTAGGACTTACTATAGAAGGTGGGACTACTATGAGAAGGAGGACTTACTATAGAAGGAGGACTTACTATAGAAGGTGGGACTTACTGTAGAGGTGGGACTTACTATAGAGTGGGACACTATAGAGGTGGGACTTACTATAGAAGGTAGGACTTACTATAGAGTGGGACTTACTATAGAAGGTGGGACTTACTATAGAAGGTGGGACTTACTATAGAAGGTGGGACTTACTATAGAAGGTAGGACTTACTATAGAAGGTAGGACTTTTCATAGAGGCTGAGGACTTACTATAGAAGGTAGGACTTACTATAGAAGGTGGGACTTACTATAGAAGGTGGACTTACTATAGAAGGTGGGACTCTATAGAAGCTAGACTTACTATAGAAGGTAGGACTTACTATAGAAGGTAGGGACTTACTATAGAAGGTGGGACCTTCTATAGAAGGTAGGGACTTGCTTATAAGAAGGTGGGACTTGCTATAGAAGCTGAGGACTTACTATAGATGTAGGACTCACTATAGAGGTAAGACTCTACTATAGGGTTGCAGGACTTACTATAGAAATGTAGGACTTTCTATAGAAGGTAGGACTTACTATAGAAGGTAGGACTTACTATAGAAGGTAGGACTTACTATAGAAGGTAGACTCTACTATAGAAGCTAGACTTTCTATAGAAGCTGCACTTACTATAGAAGGTAGGACTTACTATAGAAGGTAGACTTACTATAGAAGGTAGGACTTTCTATAGAAGGCAGGGACTTACTATAGAAGGTAGGACTTACTATAGAAGGTAGGACTTACTATAGAAGGTAGGACTACTGTAGAAGTAAGACTTATTATAGAAGGTAGGACTTACTATAGAAGGTAGGACTTACTGTAGAAGGTGGGACTTACTATAGAAGGTGGGACTTATATAGAAGGTAGGACTTACTATAGAAGGTAGGACTTACTATAGAAGGGAGGATTTACTTATAGAAGGTAGGACTTACTATAGAAGTGAGGACTTACTATAGAAGGTGGGACTTTCTATAAAGGAGGACTTACTATAGATGAGGACTCATTGCAGAAGGTAAGACTATTATAGAAGGTAGGACTTACTATAGAAGGTAGGACTTACTATAGAAGGTAAGACTTACTATAGAAGGTAGGACTTACTATAGAAGGTAGGACTTACTATAGAAGGTAGGACTTACTGTAGAAGGTAAGACTTACTATAGAAGGTAGGACTTACTATAGAAGGTAGGACTTACTATAGAAGGTAGGACTTACTATAGAAGGTAGGACTTACTATAGAAGGTAAGACTTACTATAGAAGCTAGGACTTACTATAGAAGCAGGGACTTACTATGGTAGGACTTACTATAGAAGTGCAGGACTACTATAGAAGGTAGACCTATAGAGCTGGACTTACTATAGAAGGTAGGACTTACTATAGATGCAGGACTTACTATAGAAGGTAAGACTTACTATAGAAGCTTAGACTTACTATAGAAGCTAGGACTACTATAGAAGGTAGGACTTACTATAGAAGGTAGGACTTTCTATAGAAGGTAGGACTTACTATAGAAGGTACGACTTACTATAGAAGGTACGACTTACTATAGAAGATAGGACTAATTTTAAGAGGGCCTTTTCTTTAGGCTGAAGGTACTTTAGATAAGGGACTCACTGACACTTCAGTGGAGGGACTTACTCTAAAGAGGAACTTACTCTGATCTTCGACGTCAAGGTTCCTCATCATCCAGGCAATAAGGTCGACTGGTGAAGACTGAGGGGATCTTCGTCATAAAGCTCTTGACAGTCTTCACCGGCACCCCCGTATCTTCACTCTGCATCTGTTCCACGATCTTCCATCTGCAAGAGTTTATGTTGGTTGGCGGGAGTTTATGTTAGTTTGGCGAGGCTGCGGGGGCTGATGGACGCTTGTAGGGGGACTGATGGAAGCTTGGGGGAGGGGGGGCTAGGGAAAACTGGAGGACGTGTGTGGAGGAGGACATCTGCTCTTCGATCTTCTCCGTCTACAATGTTAATTTAGTCTGGAGGAGGCTGGAGGGAAGGGTGTAGAGAGGACATGAGTGGACATGAGTGGAGGCGTGGGGAGGAGAGACACTTTTGTGGGAGCTGTGGGACATGTGTGGGAGGTTGTCGGACATGTGAGGGAGATTGGGACATATGAATGAGGTTGTAGGACAAGTGTGGGAGGCTGAGGGACATGTGTGGGACACTGTTGGACATGTGAGGGAGATATAAGGGACATGGGGAGATTGGACAGGTGTGTGGATACTGTGGAACATGTGAAGGAGGTTATGGGACATGTATGGGAGGCTGGGGACATGTGTGGGGCTGGGGACATGTATGGGAGGCGGGGGACATGTATGAGCTGGGGACATGATGGGAGACTGGGGGACATGTATTGGAGGCTGGGGGACATGATGGGAGACTGTGGGACATGTATGGGAACTGGGGACATGTGGGAGGCTGGGGGACATGTGGGGCTGTGGACATGTATGGAGGCTGGGGACATGTATGGGGGACTGGGGACATGTGGGAGGCTGGGGACATGTATGGGAGGCTGGGAGACATGTATGGGAGGCTGAGGGACATGTATGGGGAGACTGGGGACATGTGGGGGCTGGGGACATGTATGGAGCTGGGGACATGATGGAGACTTGGGACATGTGTGGAGGCTGGGGACATGATGGGAGGCTGGGGACATGTTGGGAGGCTGGGGACATGTATGGGGAGGCTGGGGACATGTATGGGAGACTGGGGGACATGTATGGGAGACTGTGGGACATGTATGGAGACTGGGGACATGTATGGGAGACTGGGGACATGTATGGGAGGCTGTGGGACATGATGGGAGACTGTGGGACATGTGGGGCTGGGACATGTGGGAGGCTGGGACATGATGGGGACTGTGGACATGTGGAGGCTGTGGGACATGATGGGAGACTGTGGACATTTATGGGAGGCTGTGGGGACATGTATGGGAGACTGTGGGACATGATGGGAGACTGTGGACATGTATGGAGGCTGGGGACATGTGGAGACTGTGGGACATGATGGAGACTGTGGACATGTATGGGAGGCTGGGGACATGTATGGGAGACTGTGGGACATGTATGGGAGACTGGGGGACATGTATGGAGACTGTGGGACATGTATGGGAGACTGGGGACATGTATGGGAGACTGGGGACATGTATGGGAGGCTGTGGGACATGATGGGGAGCTGTGGGACATGTATGGAGGCTGGGGACATGTATGGGAGGCTGGGGACATGATGGAGACTGTGGACATGTATGGAAGGCTGTGGGACATGATGGGAGACTGTGGACATGTATGGGGCTGTGGGACATGTGGGGGCTGTGGGACATGATGGGGACTGTGGACATGTATGGGAGGCTGGGGACATGTATGGGAGACTGTGGGACATGATGGGGAGCTGTGGACATGTATGGGCTGGGGACATGTGGGAGGCTGGGGACATGATGGGAGGAGTGCTGGGACGTGTATGGGGAGGCTGGGGACATGTATGGGAGGCTGGGGACATGTATGGGAGGCTGGGGGACATGTATGGGAGGCTGGGGGACATGTATGGGAGGCTGAGGGACATGTATGGGGAGGCGGGGGACATGTATGGGAGGCTGGGGACATGATGGGAGGCTGGGGGACATGATGGGAGGCTGAGGGACATGATGGGAGGCTGGGGACATGATGGGAGGCTGAGGGACATGTATGGGAGGCTGGGGGACATGATGGGGCTGGGGACATGATGGGAGGCTGAGGACATGATGGGAGGCTGGGGGACATGATGGGAGGCTGAGGGACATGTATGGGAGGCTGGGGGACATGATGGGAGGCTGGGACATGTGGGGGCTGGGGACATGATGGGAGGCTGAGGACATGATGGGAGGCTGGGGGACATGTATGGGGAGGCTGAGGGACATGTATAGGAGACTGGGGACATGATGGGGAGGCTGGGGACATGTATGGGAGGCTGGTGGACATGTATGGGAGGCTGGGGGACATGTATGGGGAGGCTGGTGGACATGATGGGAGGCTGAGGGACATGTATGGGAGACTGGGGACATGATGGGAGGCTGTGGGACATGTATGGGGCTGGGGGACATGTGGGAGGCTGGGGACATGGAGGGGCGTGGGACATGTATGGGAGGCTGGGGACATGTATGGGGCTGGGGGACATGATGGGAGGCTGGGGGACATGTATAGGGAGACTGGTGGACATGATGGGGAGGCTGGGGGACATGTATAGAGACTGGGGACATGATGGGAGGCTGTGGGACATGTGAGGCTGAGGGACATGTATGGGAGGCTGGGGGACATGTATAGGAGACTGGGGGACATGATGGGAGGCTGGGGGACATGTATGGAAGGCTGGGGGACATGTATAGGAGACTGGTGGACATGATGGGAGGCTGGTGGACATGTGGAAGGCTGGGGGACATGTGGGGAGACTGGTGGACATGATGGGAGGCTGGGGGTGTATGTGGAAGGCTGGGGACATGTATGGGAGACTGGTGGACATGATGGGAGGCTGGGGACATATGGGATGGCTGGGGGACATGTATAGGGACTGGTGGACATGATGGGGCTGAGGGACATGTATGGGAGGCTGGGGGACATGTATAGGAGACTGGTGGACATGATGGGAGGCTGGGGATATGGAGGCTGGGGGACATGTATGGAGACTGGTGGACATGATGGGGCTGGGGGACATGTATGGGGACGGGGGACATAGTGGGAGGCTGGGGACATGTGGAGGCTGGGGGACATGTATAGGAGACTGGTGGACATGATGGGAGGCTGTGGGACATGTATGGAGGCTGGGGGACATGTATAGAGACTGGGTGGACATGATGGGAGGCTGTGGGACATGTATAGGGAGACTAGTGGACATGATGGGGCTGGGGACATGTATAGGAGACTGGTGGACATGATGGGAGGCTGGGGGACATGTATAGGAGACTGGGGACATGATGGGAGGCTGGGGGACATGTGGGAGGCTGGGACATGGGAGACTGGGGACATATGGGAGGCTGTGGGACATGTATGGGAGGCTGGGACATGATGGGAGGCTGTGGGACATGTATGGAGGCTGGGGGACATGATGGAGACTGGGGACATGTGGGTGGGACATGTGTGGGAGGCTGGGGACATGTAGGAGGCTGGTGGACATGATGGAGGCTGGGGACATGTATGGGAGGAGGCTGGGGACATGATGGGAGGCTGTGGGACATTATGGGAGGCTGGGGGACATGATGGGAGGCTGTGGGGACATGTATGGGAGGCTGGGGACATGATGGGAGGCTGTGGGACATGTATGGGAGGCTGAGGGACATGTATGGGAGGCTGGGGACATGTATAGGAGACTGGTGGACATGATGGGAGGCTGGGGGACATGTATAGGGACTGGGGACATGATGGGAGGCTGGGGACATTGGAGCTGTGGGACATGTATGGGAGGCTGGGGACATGATGGGAGGCTGTGGGACATGTATGGGAGGCTGTGGGACATGTGTGGGAGGCTGGGGGACATGATGGGAGACTGTGGGACATGATGGGAGACTGGGGGACATGTATGGGAGGCTGGGGACATGTATGGGAGGCTGGGGGACATGTGTATGGGAGGCTGAGGGACATGTATGGGAGGCTGGGGGACATGTATGGGAGACTGTGGGACATGATGGGGACTGGGGACATGTATGGGAGGCTGTGGGACATGTATGGGAGGCTGGGGGACATGATGGGAGGCTGTGGGACATGTATGGGGCTGTGGGACATGTATGGGAGGCTGGGGACATGATGGGAGGCTGTGGGACATGTATGGAGGCTGTGGGACATGTGTGGGAGGCTGGGGACACAGATGGGAGGCTGGGGACATGATGGGAGGCTGTGGGACATGATGGGGCTTGGGGGACATGATGGGAGGCTGGGGGACATGTATGGAAGGCTGGGGGACATGTATAGGAATGGGGACATTATAGGAGACTGGTGGACGATGGGGCTGGGGACATGTATGGAGGCTGGGGGACATGATGAGACTGGTGGACATGATGGGAGGCTGGGGCATGTATATAGGAGACTGGGGACATGATGGGAGGCTGTGGGACATGTGGGGCTGGGGGACATGTATGGGGCTGGTGGACATGTATGGGAGACTGGTGGACATGATGGGAGGCTGGGGGACATGTGGGACTGGGGACATGATGGAGGCTGGGACATGTATGGAAGGCTGGGGACATGTATAGGAGACTGTTGGACATGATGGGAGGCTGGGGACATGTATGGGAGACTGGGGGATGATGGGAGGCTGTGGGACATGTATGGAGGCTGAGGGACATGTATGGGAGGCTGGGGGACATGTATAGGAGACTGGTGGACATGATGGGAGGCTGGGGACATGTATGGGCTGGGGACATGTATAGGAGACTGGTGGACATGATGGGGCTGGGGGACATGTATAGGAGACTGGGGACATGATGGGAGGCTGGGGACATGATGAGGCTGGGGACATGTATAGGGGGCTGGGGGACATGATGGGAGGCTGTGGGACATGTAAGGGAGGCTGGGGGTATAGAGGCTGGCGGACATTGGGAGGCTGGGGGACATGATGGGGGCTGGGACATGTATGAGACGTGACGATTGGAGGCTGGGGACATGTATGAGAGGCTGGCGGGACATGATGGGAGGCTGGGGACATGATGGGAGGTGGGAGAACATGATGGGAAGCTGGGGACATGGTGGGAGGCTGGGGGACATGATGGGAGGCTGGGGGACATGTAGAGAGGCTGGCGGGACATGTGGAGGCTGGGGACATGTAAGGAGACTGGTGGACATGATGGGAGGCTGGGGACATGTATGGGAGGCTGCGGACATGATGGAGGCTGGGGACATGATGGGAGGCTGAAGAACATGATGGGAAGCTGGGGACATGGTGGGAGGCTGGGGACATGATGGGAGGCTGTAGAACATGATGGGAAGCTGGGGCATGATGGGAGGCTGGGGACATGATGGGAGCTGTAGAACATGATGGGAAGCTGGGGGACATGTGGGGCTGGTGGGACAGTGGAGGCTGTGGGACATGTGTGGGGCTGGGGACATGATTGGGGAGGCTGGTGGGACATGATGGGAGGCTGTGGGACATGTGGGAGGCTGGGGACATGTATGGGAGGCTGGGGGACATGTGGGGCTGGGGACATATGGGAGACTGGGACATGATGGGAGGCTGGGGACATGTATGAAGGCTGGGGGACATGTATGGGAGGCTGACGGACATGTATTGGGAGGCTGTGGGGCATGATGGGAGGCTGTGGGACATGTATGGGAGGCTGGGGGACAAGTATGGGAGGCTGGGGGACATGTATAGGAAGCTGGGGACTATGGGAGGCTGGGACATGATGGGAGGCTGGGGACATGTATGGGAGGCTGTGGGATATGTATGGGAGGCTGGGGGACATGTATGGGAGGCTGGGGACATGTATGGGCTGGGGACATGTATGGGAGCTGTGGGACATGTGTGGGGCTGGGGACATGTATGGGAGGCTGGGGGACATGTATGGGAGGCTGGGGACATGTATGGGAGGCTGGGGACAGGTTCGAATCTGAGGTTGCGACATACGAGCAAACAAACAAAACGTGAGGAAACACGGCAACAATATAACATTGTCTTGCATAATATAAACTCAAGTGATTTATGGGCTATGTACTCGAGTTATCTTCACCGTAAATACACAACAGAATACTAAAGTGACTGTTTCTAAATAACCTGTACCATTTGTGTGTGTGTGTGTGTGTGTGTGTGTGTGTGTGTGTGTGTGTAACCTGACAGCTATTAACTGGCACCCTTTACCTGGTGTGTACACGGCTAAGTCTCGCTAACATGAGGTAAGTGGCGTGGGTTTATCACATCGTGGGGAGGGATAGAGAGGAGGACGTTCTCTCCCCCATCCTCCCCAAATATCAAACTTTTCCGTTGCTCTAATATTGTTGCATAATTTATTTACTCCTGTACATAAGTTAGAGAGAAAGTGAAAGGAGTCTCCGTGTACTTTCGACGGTGTCTTGTTGTCTTACGTTAATTGAGTTGACTGGATGCGTTCTTATAAACTGCTGGTTAAGGGGAAAATTCAACTTAAGCTCCTTTGAAAATCCAGACAGCGCTCGTCCAACACATCACAGTACGTACGTGCAGGTTATTACTGTTATTATAATTATTATTATTATTATAAAATTATTATTATTATTATTATTATTATTATTATTATTATTATTATTATTATTATTATTATTATTATTAATATTGTATTTATTATTATTATTGTTTTATTATTATTATTATTGTTATTATTATTATTACTTTGTAATAATTATCATAATATTATCATTAGTGCACATTTTAACGCTAACTCAGCCTATATCCTAACTTAAAATATTCTAATCTAACCTAATCTTACCCCCCCCCCTCACGTAGCGTTAGGAAGGTTAATCTTCAGGTGAACACGCAAAACCTCTGACACAACCCCATGAGTGTGAGAGGCCAGTAATAACCTTCCTCCTGCCTGCAGTATTGTTATAGCTGTGATGACCTTGAGTTTACGGCTGGTGAGAGAACGGGAGGAAGATAATTGTACTAGCAGGATGCAATTACTTCATTAAATCAAGCTGGGTGCAATTATTCACCACATTTACACTCGTCTCTCTCTCTCTCTCTCTCTCTCTCTCTCTCTCTCTCTCTCTCTCTCTCTCCAAAGTCATGACATCTCTTATGACAGCTGACACACCGTGACATGGGTTGTCATATCATATGACAACTCATGTGACTCATATGGTGAGGTTCCAACACTTTACACGGAGTGGAGGGGGAAATACGTAGAAATTCATAATGTTTCCTACTCTTCCGATCGATCGACAACGAAGGAATGAAATACGTACACTGCGTGGTTTAATTTCATAACAACTGTTTATGAAGTTTAAATACAACTGTTTATACACAACGTGGTTTAAATTCAACTATTTAAGCCCTAAGTGTTTTAAATTCAACTGCTTAAACACTATGTGGTTTAACTTCAACTGTTGATACACGACGTGATCAAAATTAAACTGCTTATACACTACGCGGTTTAAATTCAACTATGTATACACTATGTGGTTTAACTTCACAAAACATTTCAATGGACGAGTTGACGGTCAACATGTTTTTTTTTAATAAAAAGCACTTCAGCGAGTAAAAAATGTGATGAATTTCACTATGGTAACCATATTTTCTAATAAAATAGGCCAGAAAGTAAAAAAAAAGGGGGGGGGGTAAAGTTGCTCAAAAATCACTTGACTGCAAAACCCCCAATGATTGGCTGTGACGTCACAGGCTGATAGTGAAGCCAAGGGCGGGAGTCAGTCAGTTGATATGCACCTTTGATAAAAATTAACGTTAAAGGAAAGAAAAATGCATCGTTGGTGCTTCGTTGCAATGTGTAAGAGTAGGGATAGAGACATAGAGACACACACACCAGGAAAATATTCGTCTCAGTACCGAGGGAAATAAAGTGAAGGAAGATGGCTTGCTGCTCGTTGAGAGTTTCCCATGTTAGCACTGCTTCTACTGTTGTTCATATATATTGCCATGTATTTAATGTCGGTATAAATAAAATAGTTATCTGGTGCCATCGTGTGTATTTGATTGCTCGGTGCCAAAATGTGGCACAGAAAGATGAGAACTTTTGACAGTGGAATTTTAAGCTTTCACCATTTCGATTTCCTTAGTTATTGAGGTTAGAAAAGGACTTGGAACAGCCATAGCCAGATGATTAGTTTGGGACAATCAGAGATAGGCTCGGGAACGCCAGGAACATGCTGGAGTGCCCTAGGGACAGGCAGAGTCCAAATATTTCACCCTTAACTGCTACCATTTGTAGGTAAGATTTCATTAAGTTAGTCGAGGTTAGATTATGATACTGTAGTGGACTTCTCCCCTACAACTGCGTAGCCGCAGCCACCAGCTGCTACCATCTTCCCTAGCAACCAAAAGAGCGGCAAGGCGGGGGCGTCACCAGATGTCGCAGTATCTTAGCAACGGAACCAAAGACCGGCGACTTTCTCGGGTTTTCCCAACATGACTCATAGATGACTCACGGCTGCTGGGTATATAAGCTCTGTCTCTCCATTGAGATTCATTCTGGCCCATCTTCTTGAACACGCAACACCTCCTCCAGCAAGCTCCACGCTGTCCAGCTTTCATTCAACCAGGAGGCCAGCAACAGGCAACATCTTCTCTAACGAAGCTCCTGCACATCTACCTCCTTCAACACGCTACTCACCGAACGTCTCTACTGAGCAGCTCCTCACCACACGGCACCTCCAGCACCAGACTGTCTCTCATATAACTTATATTATACAAGAAAACCACCTTAGAGTTTCCATCCATCCTGAGTGCTAGACAACGTTATACCACAAACTCCTACAATACCTTAGGTTATTATGTTGCTTCTTATTAACTTTCTGATGTTTCTTTCAGTATCCTGCCATGCTCGTCATCAAGAGGTGAAAAAATCTAAAGTTCCACCAATTGCATGATTACTTACGCTTGTATATAATTTTCTATTAAAGTACCTGGTACTTGGATACAATATTCCTAACTTTAAAAAGTAACTGCCACTCGTGATTACAAATGTAAGAATTAAATCTTTCTTCTCACATTTTTCTTGAGCAAATTTTAGGAACATTAACTTGTAATGAAAGTTTCTGTTGCAAACAAATTATTGTTAGACTCCTGAATCTCCACATTTCCTTCCCAGGTGAAGGAGGATATGAAGAACTACTGCTTCTAAATTTAACACAAAAGAGCATTTGTGAATGTATAATATATATTATTAACCACAGTACAACTGTATCTGGCAATATATGTCTCAAGTACAAATATTACAGTACAGCATCTTGAATACAAGTACTGTGTGCTTCATCACAGCCAGCTACCAACCCATGTACACTATGACCATACCTCTAACAATTAGTTCTTGTTTGTACACTCTAGGAAATAATGACTAATGATAGATAATAATGGTTAATGAGTGCACCACCAAGTTAAAGGCAGAAATATGTTGTAATATTTACCCAGCAACAAGCATTCTCAAACCACAGTCCAGACCCTGTCATCACCTCTATACTGACCCATATCTTCACTAATATTATACTTTAATAGCAATAGGGAGTGTATGAGAGTTATGTAGGTTTATTAGGGGCATATTTAGATATCTAAAATAGGTATATTCTGCCTGTGTATGGTGCAACGTCTGAGCAAGTCAGCTGATAGTATAAACATTGGGGCTTACAACTTGTATCTATTATTGTTCACGACATTTTTATCACTTACGAAATGCCTCTGGCTCACATCGTTAAAAATGCACCTTTACACCTTTCATGAACAGGGCTGATGCGATCTGAAGTGGCCATCCGCTGTAAACTCCTTGACTTCAGGTTTATGTCGTCGTCCGCCCCAGTGTTCTGAGATTCTGACGTCATTGCCAATACGGTTGCCGTTTCCTCAGTACCACAAATATTTAAATTTATCACGATTAAATCACGATAGTTTCAACTTTAATTTAAAAACAATATATATGTTTATTCCGAACAGCGTGATAGAATGTGTTGAATATGTATCCACAGAACCGTCAAATCGTCCATTGCCGTAGTTGTGGCTCCTTAAAATAAAAAGGAGAAAGAAACTAAATCCATACGAAGTTTTCTAATAATTGCGTATTGTACTGTTGAAGTCATTGCTATGGGTATACAGGCGTGCTTTTGTTTCCTCGCGGGTCGAGAAGTGGGGCGATGTAACAATTACCTTTACCGTATATTGTGTGTTAGGTTTTTTTATGCATAGTTTCTGTATACATATGAATCACAAACCGGTTGATTACCTTTGTTTTAAATATGTCATACGTATGTAAATAATTTATAGATACTGTATGAATATGTATACAGTATATGAATCAGACTTATGATTATTTTCTTTGTATATCTGTGCGTATATTGGTAAATATAATGCATATACTATACATACATGAAACACTTATGAAATACCCTGCTCAGTACATCTGTATGTAAAATGTTCAAAGAATACATATATATATATATATATATATATATATATATATATGGATAATATAAATCTTGATAAAATACGGGATATATCTTTATTCAAGACATCTTCAGAGGCACTGGAATATATTTATCAAGATATATATATATATATATATATATATATATATATATATATATATA